CAAGACGAAATTGCCTCGTAAAATACCCACGGTTAACGACAAACGCCTCCAAGATACGACGACTTTCAACTTGTATATAGCGGTACTTCAAATATACAAGACTTCGGCAAACACTACTATTGTTTGGAACTCTCAAGACTCAATGAAAAAATCAAAGAACACAATATGCTATATGATATTTGAAAAGTAATGCAGAAGCTCTCTAATTTTCATAATATTAATGATTTCAAGTATGTGGGTATTTACGGATGTAAGAGAACACCTCCAAGAGGTTTAAGTGTCAAAAGACATCTTTTGGGACGTGCCCAAACGAAACGGATGAATCTAGTGGCCAAAAGATACCTTATGGTCACCAAGGGTTGCGACCCTTTGATTTCCGCAGCCAGTTACGCGCCCGTGCGCCGCGGACTCGTATGAGCTCATACAGACTCGGAATCGAGTTCCGTTTTTTCCAACTTGTCCCCAACGAGCCCTTATACAATTCTAGCATACATAATGCATAATTATGGCTCATTTACTTCGTCCAAAAATTTGTCAAAACTGAATGTTTGTCAACTCTACAACCTTTGAGTTATTTGAACTCAATTAATTAATATATAACACTTAGAATTAATTTCTCATTCACCTTAAAAAGGTTTTGGGAATTTTCTAAGTCTTCTACTTACGAAAGTAGAATCGTTAAATCGGTACAAAACCAATTTCTTCTCACAAATAATGCTTTTCTATTTGGAGATTTAAATGAAAAAGTTTACTTGACTCCCCCACCAGGTTATTGTTCATAAACAGATATTAGAGTTTGTAGATTAACAAAAAGTCTACGTGGTCTTAAACAACCTTCAATACAGTGGTTCTATAAACTCACCTCATGCTTTCTTAGTTATAGTTTCTCTCAGTTAATTGCACATCGTTGAATATTCTACATGTTTGAAAAAGATTCATTCACTGTGTTGCTTGTTTATGTAGATGACATCATCTTAGTAGGTAATGATTTAAACAAAATTCAAGCCATAAAGTCTCATCTTAATGCATGTGTTACAATAAATGATATAGGACAATTGAAATATATTCTAGGAAAAAGTTTGCTCACTCTGACAAAGGGATACATATGTGTCAAAGAGAATATGCATTAGATATCCTTAATGATACTGGTATGTTAGGTTGTAATCTTGCCTCTACTTCTATGGATCCCACACAAAAATTTAACAAATAACTCCGAATCTTCCAAACCAAACATCTTGCTGGAGTCATCTACTTATAGAAAGTTAGTTGGTAGGTTACTTTACCTCATCATTAGTAGATCAGACATTGCTTTTTCTGTTCAAACTATTGGTCAGTTTATGTCAGCACCTACTAAAGAACACGTGCATGCTGCACAAAGAGTTCGGAGGTATGTCAAAGGTACCATTAGCCAAGGTATTGTTTCTTACAGAAACCCCTTGACAATTTCATGTTTATTATAATAGTGATTGGGCCTCTTGTGTTGAGACTAGGATAAGTGTAACTGGTTATTTAGTATTTCTTGGCAATTCATTAATATTATAGAAGTAAAAAAAACAACCAGCTATTAGTAGGTCATCTGCAGAGGCTGAATACAGGGCCATAACAACCACTACTTGTGAAGTCCAATGGCTTACTTACTTGAGTGTTGAACGTGGTATATCACTAATGTCCCATGNTTGAATACATTTGTCTCGTTTACATTTGATTTTTTTTTAATTAAAGAGATAAACACAAAATGTGAGTAAACAATTACTTTTTTTTTTCAACGACATAAAAATTCTCATTAAAAATGCCAACTAGCAATGTACACGAGCAAAGCCCGAATCCTGGGAAACTGGAAGGTTACAATATCGCCAATGCAACCTAGACGGAATAACTGCTCGCAACGCGAGAAAACCAACCACAACAAAATACAAACGAACACTACTACAACACGACTAATAAAAAAGAGAACCCTCCCAACAGGAGAATACCCGAGTGCGCTCCCAACAAGAGAATTAAGTTACAATCGAGCCCATAGGGACAATCCTAATTCCTAACACACAACAACAAAAAAACAAACCAACAAACACCAAAACAAAAACAAACGAAACAAGAAACAAATTAAACTGGCCCTTCCTCAGCTAATCGACACCGCCCCAAACAGTAGTGACCGATCGATACAAGAAATATACCGAGCCCAAGTCCCGCTACTGAAACTGCACGAACGCCTAGCAGTAGGTGAACCCAAATCCTAGCACAATCCCTGATTCGACCCACCGTTAACCGAAGGAAACCACAACCAAGCCAACCCCTACACAAGTTCCCCCAGAGTACATCTAACACCACTAGCTGCATTCGAGTGAAACAGATCCCCGCCGCCTAACACCACTAGCCGCACGGAGGATGGTGATCGTGTCGTGGCCCCTCAACTCCGACCACCACATCCCGAGACGTCGTAGTCACCAGAAAATTGCCCCACCCACAAAACCTCACGCCACCCAACTCCGCCGCAATCACGCCGCCACCAAAAGTCCACAGCTCCTGTTCAACGAGCCGGAACCCACCGAAAAACCTCTGCCAACCCCGATAACCGACCCGACCCGATAAAATTACGAGAATAAGGCACCATAAATGGCACGAGAGGACATAGACGACCACTGGAAAAAGAGCCGAGGAGCGGTCTCTCAACCCTGACACCGACAGACCACATCCCGCCTAATGCTAGATTCCAGCCCCCCTGCTGACCCGAACCCAGCAATCCACCTGCACTAAGCCTAGAAGCCCCGAAACGGAGCCCCACCGGAAAAGCCCCAAAACGGAGCCCCATCAGAAAAAGCGAGCCGCCCGAGGGGAGCCCCACAATTCTAGGCCAAACGCAACAGAAAGGAAAACTTACCTCCATTCGAAACCAGCCTACAATCAGCGCCACCGATTTTCGCCCGACCGTCGACCTAGAGACCCTCCTAACTGCGAAATCGCCGTTGACCTAGGGTAGGACATCCCTTATAGTGCCGGAGCACTACGGCAACATCAGGGTTCAACTAAGGGGGCCGCCGGTCAACGACGACCACCGGCTGACGCCGCGCCGCCGCCAAGGAAGGCTTCGCTGGGTTGAAAAGCTTGTCTTTGTCGCGAGGGTTTTTTTTGCCTGAGAAGAGAGATGTAAGAACCAAGCTCATTGAATTGAATTGTCATTTGATTTGAGAGAATTAAAATTACCAGAGGCCTCACCCAACTCCATCACATTCCCACAAATGATTTGTTAGCATATTTTTTTACTAAGCACTTTCAGGATCAACATGCCAGCAACTCTTGGCCAAGATGAGCATGCTAAATATACACGCTCCTCTTGCGAAGGTATTAAGAGTAGTGTTTTACACATAACATTTTGTATTATTTATTTGTTGTAAAGTTGCTAGATAGGAAACAACACTTTTATTTGTATTAGACTTAGTATAAATATGTAAGTTGTAAACCCTAAACACGTTCATTCATTCATTCTCTAATAATATTAAACCACAAGCTTCCCTTTGTTCTTTTTCACTCTCCCTTGTTCTTGTGTTAGATTCAAACATGAATTTTGTCAATTTATGGTTCCATTCATAAGTCTACTAAAATATCTCTCTCTCTCTCTCTCTCTTTCTCTCTCTCTCTCTCTCTCTCTATATATATATATATATATATGGGCAGACAATTTTTTTGTAGCACTTTTTAAATATTAAAATTGCTTTTTTTTTACCAGCAATATAGATTAATGTATAAATACATTTTGATCATATTTGTTAATTATCAACATCTTATTATTATTTTTTTTCTTTTTTCTCTAAGTTGAATATTTGTAATGTTTATCTTTCTTTTTTTTACAACATTTCTCTCTTGTGAGAGCGAAATTTACTTGGTGAGGCGAGATTCTTTTGGTGAGGGTTTCAATTAATCTTTTCAATCTTTTGTTCGTGAGTTAAGTTAGAGACAGGACTATTCTGCTGGAGTTCCTTTGAGGGCACGAGAGGTGAGTTTGGGTTCGGGCTGTGTCAGCTTTGATTGGAGAGGGTATGCGTTAGGTAGGCTTATAGGTGGACGAATCACACCAGATAGTGAAGGTTGAAGAGTAGTATGAATACTCAGTGCTCGTATATTGGGGAGGAGGAAATTGCCCAAAAATTGGGGAATTTCTCTCTCTCGACGAAGGAAGCGGGTGAAATAGAAATTGGTTCGGAGGACATCAAGGCTAGTGCTGAGGACAGTGATCGTAGCTTGTTTTGGAAAGTCATTGGGGACAGGAAAGCACGTCTTCTCGGCATCAAAAGGGCAATGACAGCTATATGGAAGATAAAAAATGCTATGGAGGTGGGGGAACCGGGAGTTAATTTTTTCCAATTTGTATTTACCAAAAAGGAAGATATGCAGAAGATGGCAGCAGGGCACAATTGGATGTTCGAGAATCAATTCCTAATTCTAAAGAAGTAGAGAGAAGGAATGCATAAGGATCATCCATGTTTTGATGAATTGGCAATCTGGGTACAAGTTCAGAATCTTCCATTGAATTGGATGAGTACAGAGGTGGGTATGAAGGGTAAATGTCTTTAAAGGTGTGAAGAATGTTACAATAAGTAATACGGGGAACTCTACCAGGAGATATTTAAGGTTACTGGTTCTAGTGGATCTCACGGAAGCTCTTCCACATTGCACTAACATCAGATTAGAAAACTAGAAGGTCAGAGTACAGTTCAAGTATGAACGGTCAATAAATTTATGCTATTATTGTGGAAGGATTAGACATTTAGATAGGAGTTGTGAAAAAAAGGTTGAGGGATATCACAACTAACAACCTGCAAGAATGACAGTTTGGGGATTGGATCAAAGCACAAGTCACTCATTATTTATCTCAGAATAGTCAACACACATTGTTTGGCCAAAATGGGGATAAGACTGACATTCCCAACCATCATTCAGATGGTCCAGTGGCAAGAGCAAATGAAGATGGTGAGAAAAGAGATGATGGTAGAGGCAAGTAGATAATGGCTATTGATTTGGGAAAGGAGGGAGGAGGGAGTAATAGAAGCCATGTGAAGATGATGAATGGATTATGTGGTGTAGAGGATAAGCCAAATGAACCAGATAAGCAACAATGGCAGGTACAGGTTATAGTGGGGCAGCATAGTAAGGACAAAAATGCAAAGAATATGGAGATAGAAACTGTAGTAGGAGGATTGAGTCAAGAGGGAGCAGTGGTATATTCAATTGAGGTGGGGAATAAATTGAGAGGCAAAAAGCCAATCACTTGGAAAAGAGACTCTTTGGGGGGACAAATGCAGAGGAATCTAGAAGAATTGAAGCATAAAGAGGTAACCAGACAACCAAGAGAATGAGAGGAGAAGCGTTGAGGAGTTTACAGGAGGGCAATGAAATTGCTGAGGATAACAAGGGAAAAAAAGTGAAATTAGTTGAAGAAAGGGTGGAGGTGGCCAGCCTTGAGTGGCCACAGGGTAACAGATGAATGCTCTAGTGTGGAATTGTAGAAGTCTGAATGGAGCCTCTACAGCTCTCTAGATAAAGAAGTCTATTAAGATCCATCACCTCCATTTTGTTTTCCTTTATGGAACCAAAAAACAAAGCAGTTTTGCATTGACAGTAAGTAAGAAGTTGGGTTACAAACATAAATGTGTAATGGTAGAACCTGTAGGGTTGAGTGAAGGATTGATGCTTATGTGGAAAGATATTGTGGAAGTGAACGAAGTAAGAAACCATAGTTTCTGTTTAAAAGTCCAATTCAGATTGCAACCTGATGAGAGTTTTAAATGGGCTACTTTTGTGTACATTAACAGTGATAAAAAATTGAGAGAAACTCAATGGAGTTGTTTGTTGGAAATGAAGGAGGACTGGGGACAAGAGTGGTGTGTTATTGGGGACTGGAATGATTGAAGTGCGATAGAGGACAAGAAGGGAGGCAGGCCAAGAACTTTGGGCAGTATTGTAGGGTTCCAAAATTTCATTGCTCGCATGAATATGCATGAAGTCCAGATGAAAGGATACCCCTTTACTTGGGGCAATAATAGGTTAAATGAGGGGTTTATGGAGGAGGTTCTTGATAAGATGTATGTCTCACTGGGGTGGTTGCAGCAATACCAAATACTCAAGTCACAAATCAGTTGAAAACCTCATCTGATCACTGTATGCTGGTAGTGAAATGTAATCCATGCACAAAGAAAAGCAAGCGCAGGTTTCAATTCGACAAAAGCTGGCTGGAGAATGCAAAAGTTGCTGAGATTGTTAGCAATGCTTGGCAGGAGAATCAACAAGGGACTCCCATGTACAGAGTGAATGAGAAAATTAGGAAAACAAGGGAAGCCCTTCTGGTATGGAGCAAATATTTTAAATCTGAGAGGGAAAGTAAAGTGAAACGACTGACTTTGAGACTGGAAGAGATGAGAAAAGAAGCAGGAGAGAGGAACTAGGAGGAATGGGACCAGATTAAATCTAAACTTCATCAAGCCTACTATACTGAGGAGGTGTTTTGGCAGCAAAAGGCTAGGATACAATGGATCAAAGAAGGGGACCAGAATACCTAATTTTTCCACGCGTATGTTTTGCAGAAAAGAAAACAAAATGCCATAACAAGATTGTTGACTGCGTAGAATACTATATGTGAGACAGAGGAAGAACTGGAGGAGCATATTGCTGATTTCTATAAGAAGTTGTTCACAATAGAGGGATCAAGGGGAGGCACTGAGTTGCTGCAAAATATCTCCCATACCATATCTGTCTAGATGAATGAAGAGCTGCTAGCACCAGCGAATGAAAGGGAAATCAAACTACACTTTTCAGTTTGAATCCAAATAAAGCTCCAGAAGCAGATGGTATGTCAGCACTATTTTTCCAATACTTATGGCCAATTTTAAAAGAGGATTTATGTGTTGCTGTGGTGAGATTTTTCAATTTGGGGAGAATGCTTAAATATTAGAATCACACCTTAATAACTCTCGTCCCTAAATGTAAAAATCCAACAACTCTTAGTCAATTCAGGCCAATTAGTTTATGTGGTGTTGTGTATAAGATGATATCTAAAATTCTTGCACATAGGTTGAAAGCCTGTCTCAATTCTTGTATTGGTCAGACTCAAATAGCCTTTATACCAGGTAGGAAATTGAGTGATAATGTTGTTATTGCTCAAGAGGTGTTTCACCTCTTGAGTAGATATAGAACATGAAAGCATAGAGTCATGGCAGTGAAACTAGACATGCTTAAAGCTTATGACAAATTTGAGTGGCAGTGTATAAGTCAGACAATGTTGAGAATGGGGTTTGATTTGAAATTTGTGCAGTGGATTATGGGTTGTGTGACAACATCTTCTTTCTCTATTTTGATAAATGGTGAGGTACGTGGGTATTTCAGTGCAACAAAGGGGCTCAGGCAAGAAGACCCCCTATCACCTTATCTATTTATCATAGTGTCTGAAGTGTTATCTGCATTAATATCCAACCACGTAAACAGGGGTCAATTTAAAGGAGTGTCTATGGTGAAAAATGGCCCAGTGTTATCTCATTTACTATTTGCAGATGACACTTTGATCTTTTGCAAAGCTGATCCCCATCATGCTAGGAATTGTTGACCATGTTAGTAAAGTACAAGGACTTCTCAGGACAACAAGTCAACCTAGCAAAATCCTCTATATTTTTTAGCTGAAACACCTCAGAGGACCAGTAGCGGGGAGTTTTTCAGGTGTTTAATGGTATTCAAATCCATACATCTACAAGATATCTAGGGTTTCCCCTAGGGATTAGCAAGGGAAAGAAAGAAGTATTCAGCTTTGTGGTGGAGAAAGTGAGACAAAGAATAGCAAACTGGAAGAACCAATATCTCTCAACAACAGGTAAGGAGACTTTGATTAATGCAGTACTTAATGCCTTACCAATTTTTGTGATGACATGTTTTAGACTGCCCGTGGGAACTTGTAAAGAGATAGCCAGCTTGTTTGCACATTTTTGGTGGGCTAAGGGTGAGGACAGATCAAAAGGCATTCATTGGAAAAGCTGAAAATTGGTGACCACACCAAAGGAGAGAGGAGTCTTGGGGTTCAAGGATATAGGTTTTTTCAATGAAGCCATGCTTGTGAAACAACTATGGAGAATATTGACACAACCTGATCTAATTTTGAGCAAGGTGATCAAAAGCAGGTATTTCCTTCTCACCTCAGTGTTCGAAGCTACATTACCACAAAGCTCATCTTGGCAATGGAGGTGTTAGTGGACAATCAGAGGATTACTACAAGAAGGGTTAGAGGTGGAAGTTAGAAATGGGGGTTCACTTAGAGTGAATGACTATAACTGGATACCTGGGATGAAAAGGAGAAAACCATAGCTCAACAATGAAGAAAGCAACAAGTCTTTGAGAGTTAAGGACTTGATAGACGAGAGTGGGAGGTGCTGGTTGGAGGATAAGGTGAAAGAGGTCTTCTGTGAAGAAGAAAGCAAGGCAGTCCTGGAAATAGATACCCTTAATCAGAATCAGGAGGACAAATGGAGATGGAGGCTGACTACAGATGGGAAATTATCTGTTTCAGCTTCATATTCTCATTTGATGCGCAAAAAACTGCAACAGATGGACTTGGCAGAAGGAAGTGGTACAACAAAAAAGAGAAAGAGGAATAAGAACCAGAAGCTGGAAACATAAAGTTCAAGGTAAATTTAACCTTTTTCTATGGAAGTGTTACAGTGGGATATTTCCTGTTAATGTGAATTTGAGATAGAGAGGAATACCAGTTGATGTGTTGTGCAAGTGCTGTGGGGAAGAGGAGAAAACCATAGAGCATATTTTCCTCAAATGTAGAAGAGCAAAAATGATATGGAAACATGCACCAGCCTTTTGGGATGGAATACCAACACATTCATGCAGATTCCGAGATTGGTGGGGCAACATTTGTGCAGTAAACAAGTCAGAGATTTCAGAGGCAATGATACAACGTACATATTGTGGTGGCTCTGGAAGACTCGGAACCTGTGGAAATTCGAAGATATATGGAGAGATGAGCAGAGCATTGTAAAAGCAGCTGTAAGAGACTGGACAGAGATCGTGGAGTTGAGAGAAGGAGCAAATCATGCTAGAAGCAGACCTAGGTAGGTCTGATTTATAAGTATAGTGGCTAGGGATGTGTTCTGGATTTTTTCCCTTGTTGTTTGTTATGTTGGTAGCTGTACTTCTTGGGGGTTTCAGTATTTGTCTACTGCCCTTAGTATGTGATTTGTCTTGTTGTTTATTTAGACCGTAAAATGTTTATGTGCGGGTCTCTCTGATTTTAGTCCTCGGAGTAGGTTTGGTAGTGAGCCCGATTGGGCTATGTGTTTGTACAAACGTTTTAATTTTGTTGGTTATGAGTATTCTTATCGTTCCAGAAAAAAGAATCTTTCTTCTATTTTTTTTTATTCTTTTTACGTATCAAATTGAGTATTCACATCTTTTCTCTTAATAAAAATCATGATAGCACTTGTTATCACTGTTTTATAAGTAATACATTAAATTGATCTTATTTTGATTTGACACTAATATAATATAATAATTTATTGGATGAATTAACTGATATTTATCTATAGTACCAAATTAAAAATAATGAACGCACTAAAGTTTTCCCATTCAATAAATTATTCATATATAAACATTAAACTTTTAAGCATAAAATAACGTAAAGTAATGTTTATGTATTTTAGTCATTTGTATTTTTTTTTTTTTGAAACAATAAGTTTTATAAAAGAAAAAAATAATTGCATCTAGACAACTAAGAATAGTCAAACAGCCACCCAACTGAATTTAATGAGAGAATTACACAAGGTAGCCTAAATCAACTAGGTTAACGCACCTACAATACGATAAACTATACAACTCCCACATGTGAAGAATAACGACTTTTAAATAGAAGAATAAAAATAACAAAAACAACAAACACGCAAATCACAGATCCAAAAACACTAAAAACGACAATTTGGATCTAGACTAAACAGACCTATTTTTTCGCACGGGTGGACCACCCCATCCCCGCTGCTGTAGGACTTCACCAAACCTCCCTCAAGTTGAGGTTTTTGTCCTTTTAGAGAGAGAGAGAGAATGATGGAGACGAGATCGCGATTGTCTTTTTCGATAAATATGATCGGCTCCAGGTTTAGTTTCTTTCTTATTATTCCTTCTTTTATTAATTCTTTACTTATTATGGATATTTACATAAATATCTTGCAAATTGTTAGGCAAGATACGTATTAGGGTAGAACTCTTGTTACTTTTTTTTATGCAAAAATGTTCAGATGTAGGAGGAATTTAATCTGGGGGATTGTATCATTCGTGGAGCTTTGATTGAGATTTTATCATACTTTCGTTAATTCATTAGAGAGAGTATCTCGTGTTCTTCATGTCGTATCACGTTCTACATCAGTTGGTATCCAGAGACCAGCGACAATCCACGATGCCGCCTAAGAGAGGGGTGGACAACATCGACGTAACGTCAGGCGTCCGATAGAAGGGGCGATGAGTCACGTTGGGAAGAAGGGTTTCGTGTTGAAATTCTAAAATTTGCAAGTGGAGTGGACGGGTTGGAATTTCACGATTGGTGGGTTTCGGTTGATTCTGTCCTCGTTTTTAAGGAGGTCTCGACCAAGAGGCGTGTTGCTCTGGTCGCCACATGATTTTGGGGTCGAGCGGCGACACGGTAGATGCAACTCACCAGTTTGCGGCATCGTCAAGGGAAGCCGAAAATATCATCGGGGATGAAATTCCTTGAGTATGTGGAACCTGAGTTTGTTCTTTACAATTATGATAGCCTTGTTTATCAACAACTACAGAATTTGCGTCAAGTAGCACGCTTGGTGGATGACTACACGACTGAGTTTTATAGTCTCTTAACTCGTGTAGAGGTACGAGAGACAAAGAATCAATTGGTTTCACGTTATGTCGGTGGGTTACTTACTGCAATCCAAGATATGTTGAATCTTTTCCGACCGGAATCGGTTTCAGATGCTCACCAACGGGCCATTCTCGTCGAGCTTCAATTAACACAGAAAGCAGGATTGTCGTTTTCTTCATCCACACGATCGGGAGCAGCGATGGGAACGGCTCCACAGTCCACACGTTCCGTTCTTGCGGCGGGTTATGGTTTCAGCCAAGGAACAGTGGTCGTACATCTTCCGTCGTCTAGCGGAGGCAGCCAACGGGCTGTCGGTGTTGGCGGACAACAGTCCTCTGTGGCTGCATCACGAGCAGTTGCCATCCTGCGATGTTTTAGTTGCGGGGAGGTGGGACATCGCCAATCGTAAAGTCCGCGAGTTACCAGTACACGAGCTTTGTTTTCGGAGGAAGCGGGAGATTTTTCATTGACCGAGGGTTATGAGGGACTGTCGGTTTATGATGTCGAACCAGGCAAGGTGGAGGAACACGTGCCCGGCGATGCTGAAACGGCCTTAGTTCTTCATCAATCTTGTTTGGTGCCGCGGGGTTCAAGTGATGCACCGCCGGAGCGCCACCATCTTTTTTAATCTACTTCCACAGTTAGTAACATAGTCTGTCGGTTTATTATGGAATCCGACTCCTATGAAAATGTTATCACTCAGGAGGCCGTGGACAAGCTGCAACTTTCTAGTGTGCCTCATCCATCGCAATATACACTCGCGTGGATCCAAAGAGGTAACGTGATCACCGGTGACCGCTGTGTGTTAGTTTCTTTTTTAGTTGGACTGAGGTATCGTGATCAGATTTGGTGCGACGTGGTCCCGATGGACGCAAGCCATTTACCATCGGGCCGCCCTTGGCAGTTCGATTGGGCGGCCACTCATGACAGTCGCCTCAACACTTATGCTTTCTTGTATGATGGTGTTTGGATCGTATTGCATCCTGCTCCGCCTCCGGCTACGAGTTCGTCTTCTTTGGTTCTATCTCTGTCTCATTCGGAATTTTCTACAGAGATGCGTGATTCTCTGATGGTCCGATTAGTTATCGGTATGGACACGGTTGACGAACAGTCGCCACCAGCAGCAATCCGTCCTTTGTTGTCTGAATTCGCGGATGTATTCCCAGATGATATTCTTTCAGGTTTTCCATCACTTCGCGACATTCATCATCACATTGATTTGGTCCCGGGGGCGTCTCTTCCAAATAGGCCTTACTATCGGATTAGTCCTAAGGAGCGCGAGGAATTGCGATGCCAGGTCGAAGAGCTTCTCCAACGGGGGGTGGTACGTAGGAGTATGAACCCTTGTTTGGTCTCGCCTCTTCTGATCCTGAAGAAGGACAATACGTGGAGAATGTGTGTCGATAGTCGTGCGATCAACAAGATCACAGTCCGTTATCGCTTTTCGATCCCCTAGTTGGACGATTTGCTGGACCAGTTTCATGGCTCAACCGTTTTCACCAAGTCGGATCCATGTAGCTGCTATCATCAGATTCAAATCCGACCTGACGAGTGGAAGACGACATTCAAAATCTGTGAACGGTTGTTCGAGTGGTTGGTGATGCCGTTTGAGTTGTCGAATGTGCCTAGCACATTTATGCGGGTGATGAACCAGACACTTTGTGATTTTATTAGGAAGTGTGTCATCGTTTATTTCGACGACATTCTTACTTACAGCCGGTAGATAGAGGAGCATCTACAGCATGTCCGGTCGGTCCTACTTGTTCTGCAGACTGATTTTTTTTTTTTTTTTTTTT